TTCATCATCTTCAGCTTATGTGCAGTTTTTTATATCAGGATTATTTTTTTCTAAGTTATTAAATTTGAAATCTTGCTGGTGCTAAAAAAGACTAGGCACTCTAGAGATGGAACGGTTTAGAACCAGTAGATCTGTACAGTCTCTCCTAACCCATTGGTAAATGTTTATGTATAGCTAAATTGGGATTTTAAAAATCTAGGGCAATAGGTTAAGAAAACAGTCATTGCCTCAGATTAACTGATGTTAAACCAATAACAGTGTGTCAAATAATGTTAATTTGAGGCCCCATTTCATTTATTATTCTGGTATAAGAGACCACGTTGCATAGTATTACAGTTGTAATGACTCTATTCATTCAATTACTTTGGTACATGGCATGTAAGCAGTTTGTGAATCTAAGCATGCTAGTCTGTTCTGCCTGGGAGTGAAGTTTCATACAGTAGTTTGAGTGACAAACATCTCAGAGCTTGCTCACATTCCTCTGTGGAATAGTCACTTCTGAGAGAAAGAGGTGCGGCTCCGTGGTCTGAGAACAGTACTGTCAGCCAGGAACACAGAGTTCTCATCCTGGAACGAGTTCTGTTCTCTTTATGGATCAGATCATGCTAATAAATCTTTCTAGGACTCAGTTTACCCAGTTAAAAAAGCTGGTTAGGAAAATTTAATTAACAGGTATAATGACTATTCACAAACAGATATCTGTTAAATGATTTGAAATGAAAAGTGATATGAATGTAAGATATTTTTCATAAACTAGTTTATGAAACAAATTAATAATAGAAAATTTTCGGCCTTTGAAAAAATTACCCCAGAACAAGAAAATTAATTTTAATACATTTCAATGTTTATTTTAATTTTTCTAAACATTTTCTACTCTAAATGTTTCTTTTCAAGTTAACATGCTAAGTATACTCTGTGATGCAAATAATTAAATTCACCATTAGTTTCTTTTAAAGTTAAAGAGGTAGCCTCTTTGTTCTATATAGCAAAGGGAAATCTTTTCTAAAGTTCCATGCACTATAAGAATATGGACATTATTAACCTTAATGTTTTAGAGAAAAAATGAGGATCAAAGAAATGCATAATCTAGAGCAGGGTGGTAAACAAACTGCCTATTTTAAAATGATAAAGACTTCCAAGAATAAGATGCAATTTCCAAAAAGAGAAAATTGTGCATTTGTACACAAACAAAACCAGGGCAGGGGAGAAAGACCTAATGATTGAGTAATTGTGGTGTTCTATATCTGAAAGAATAAAGAAAAAAAAAACCCTCAAATACATGTGTTTCATTCTGGTGGCTCAGCTAGTCAGCACTCTCTTTCTCTCTTCCAGCCCCCCCAGATGAATCGGCCTTATGTGTGAGGTTAAAAAAAAAAACAATTAACTTCTAAAAAATATATTGTGGTTATTTACAGGAAGACTTAATCTCCTGTCTTCTCCTTTCTTAAAAATGAAAACAAACAGACAATGGATCTTCAATTCTGTGTCTGGGATCTCAAATTTGGCTGTGAATATGTGTTTCAAATCTCATTAATTACAATATTGGCCCCACGAGATACAGTTGCTGATGCAAAGAACACTCTTTGTACTCAAAATAATTTGAACAAGGGCAAAGAAGCATTTTATTTACATGTGTAAACATTAACAAGAAAATAAAATAGAGATGGTTCAGATAGCTGCTGAGATGTTTTAATGACAATTGATTTGATTACTACTGAAGCTTTAAGGTTACCACATATAGGGATAGTCATGTTTTCACTTAGTGTATTTGTTGGATAATAACGTTCTTGTAAAGTTAACTCTGACATTAACTTGGCAAGTTCTGAACTAAGACCTTTTCGTATTTTATTCTTTCTGGATACTAAGACCAACCATATTATTCTGAATTCCACACCCTACTGTGCAGATTTACAATTTATTTATTTCTTAAATATCAGAAAATATGCCATTACTCAAAGGACTTTTCCATGTAATAAATGTGGGTGAAAACCAATCAAATGAATACATTGCAGCAGTAGACAGGAAACAGCTTCTCTTGTTTTCTTTTCTCTTTAGGAAATAGTAAATTAAACCATAGCTATTTGTGGTCTTGTGCTATAAGATCACATGTGGTCATACATTTTCATCCTATTAACAAATCTGTTGGCTCAGTGGGTAGAAAGTAAAGTCCACTGTAAAGATGTCTTAATGCCTTATGTAGGGAGGGTCATCTGCTGTGTATAGCCACAACCTAAAAATCTTGCTTTGAGATCTGATTGTGTTTATTGGCTGTGTTTAAATGGACACTGAAGAGCAGAGTTAAGCAGTCCTAATTACATATAAGAATCACTTGGAGCTTACAAAAAAATACAGAGGCCAGGGTCCATCCACAAAGTTTCTGAGTGAGTTAGTTGAGGGCGGGGGCGGGGGATGTCCCAGAAACTTGTATTTAAAACCAAACCAACAAAACCCAACAAAAAATAAATCCTCTTAGGGCAATTCTAATGTCCCATGACTGAGAACCATAGAGAATCCCAACACTAGTGCAAGGATAATAATGAATTTGTTTTTAGATAACAGTACAAAGCCCACTCTTGATCTTTAATGGAAACCTTACCTTAGTCCAGGTGTGGGCATGGATTGGCAGCTGCCATAGCTCCCTCCTTGACAGCATTCTCAAAGCAGTCCCTTATAGGGAGTGTTCTATGGGTCATGGAGCTTTGAGATGCTAATTTTCTGGGTTAAAGCCAATGAAAGTTGATAACTGAACAACAAATTATATATGCTAACTCTGAAGGTAGACTCTGCAAAGAGTGGCAGCCTTACACACATGTGAGCACTTTGAGCAAAAGTTCATTAAAAGAGAGACTTACTCACTCAGCATCACTCCTTCCCGTTCTTCTGAGTCCATGAATGTCATGTCTCCACCACCAAATCACTATAGTTCATTGTAAACAGAAAGGGGGATTTTGAATTAGAAATGGCAAATTACGTCTCTTGGAAATTAATCAACGTAAGCCTATGTGATTTCTCACTTTCTTCATTCTTCTATGGGATGGATTTTTGTCCTTTTAATAACAGCACTTTTATTTTTCTTGCATCCTTCAATAGTAACTTAGGTCCTTTATTGTTTTTGCCATCTTTTGCTATCATATTCTATGGTTTCATTTAATCCTATTTCTTTTATTCTTCTTTCCTACCTTTTTACACTTTACCTTTTCCAATTAAAAAAACAAAACAAAAAAACTTCTCTAACACTAGAATAGCGGGTCCTTCTTCATTTTTCCCAGTTTTTGATTTATGTTTGGTTGCCAATCTGTTTTCCGAGTCTCTTTCTTTATTACTAACTGCCCTTGCTTAACCTTCTGTTGATGTTTCATTCCTATCGCTTGCTGATGTTGGTCATAAAGCCCATTTCTTTCCATTCCATTTATCTTTGTATCTCCATAAGCATTTTTAGGGTCCTACTACTAAAAGCTTAAAGCTCTGTGAGAAACAGAAAGGTAGCTTTCCCCATTTAAATCCTATTTCCTCTCCCCTCCCATAGCCGTTCCATGTCTATTCACCCTTTCCTGATGTTTCCCCCAGTCTGACCCCCACCTGCACCCCTCTTCCTCTGTCACTCCCTATTTGATGCCCATGTCTTCTTTCTAACCCCATTTGCACTCTGATTTTGCATCCAAGGATCTCCACAAGATAAAGGATGGAGTTCTATCGGGAACCAGATTGTGTTACAGAAACTTTCTGCACATTTACTGAAATGGGATTAGGGGCTTTGATCCAGAAATATTCTCAGGCAGCCTTTCAGATGTGGCACAATTTTGTACACCTTGAAGGAGGGTTGGGGCCTACTCTGATGGACAACAGCTGAGCTGTCTTTAAAGGCCTTCTGGGGCCCTTTCCACTTCAAAGGTTAGGATGAGTAGGCATCACCGACCAAGGCTGGAAAACCAGGCCAGGTGGGAATGCCTGGGGCCCTTTTCTGCAGCATTTCTGGCAAGGGAGCTGTTGCACGGCGTGCCACAGAGCTTCGAGGGTCCCGTGCAGGGGCCAGGGTAGGGGGCCAGTGAGTCCCCAGGTATCACTGGGCCATTTTGGGAGGGGGAGGCTCACCTCTAAAGAGGGGAGGCAGGCCTGAGGCAGGGTGTTCCCCAGGGAAGCAGGGTGCGGCCCCGGGGGCGAGGCGACGCCACCCCAGCGGCGCCCGCCGAGGGCGGGAGGGACAATCTCTACCCAGGAGGGAAAGCGAGACGCTCTGGGTCGCTCAAACAGAAGGTTCAGGGAACTGCGCGTGTGTCCCCTGCCTGCGGCCCTCTGGGAGCAGGGCGTGGTGGGGGGACGGGGGAGGGGGGTCGACACCCCAGGGAGAACGGCTGAGGGCTGTAGAGATCAATCCAGGGTACTGGCGCGGGGTCACAGACAGGAGAGGAGCAGGAGAGGGGGCTGGTGGGGGCTCCCACGAAAGCTGGGGCCGTATGTCTGTCTCTGTACTCGGCGGGCGCCCCAAAGTCTGGGGCCGCCACAGCTCCAGCTCCGCCGGCTCCTACCAGCGATTCCAGGCCGCACTTTCCCCTCCTCCCGGCGCCTTCTCTCCAGTGAGGAGCCGAGCGCGGGCGGCGCGGGGGGAGGGGCGGCGGCAGAGAGAACAGCCAGTTGTTTAAAATCCTTCTAGAGCAGTTTCTAATTCCCCCCTTGCGCCGGGGTTCGGAGGGGGGAGGGGGGAAAGAGAGCGGGAGGAGGGAGGAGAGCGGAGAGGGAAGGAGGGAGGGAACCCGGGAGGGAGGGAAGGAGGGAGGAGACTGCCGCTTAGGCTGTAGCCGCCACCGCGCGCTTCGGAAGGCCGGAGGGAGGAGGAGGCCTGTCAGTCTCGCGCGTTGCCTGGGCGAAGGGGGCGGAGCTTTAGCGTGGGGCGGCCAATAGTGGGGGTGGCTGCGTGGGTCGCCATGGGGACGGGGCTGTTCCCGGGGAGGCTGTGATGGGTTGACAGGTGCGTGACAGTGGGAGCTGCTCTCGGCACAAGCATGTACGGCAAAGGCAAGAGTAACAGCAGCGCCGTCCCGTCCGACAGCCAGGCCCGGGAGAAGTAAGTGTCTCCGCTTCTCACCCACCTCCGCCTTCACACGCGCGCACACACACGCACGCACTCGCACACTCTCTTGGAGACACACAGACCCAGACACTCTCCGCCCGGGGAGAGCCGGGGGTGGGCTGGCAGGGGGAGGGGTACGCGAGGTGGGGGCGTGCGGTGCGGGGAGCGGCTGTTTCCCAGGAGGTGCTCGCGCGGGGCGGGCGGCCTTGGGGGGCTGCCGGCGGGAGGGAACGAGTGTGCTGGGGGGCGGTGGCGGTGCTGGTGCCGAGGACGGAAACTTGTTTGGGTGATTGGGGGAAA